TAGGGTGTGTGTATATATATATATATATATATGTATGTATGTATGTATATATACACACATACATATATACATACCATAGGAAACAAGATATTATATATTTCTAAAGATTTAATGGACATTTTTCTTTTCTTTTTTTTATTCTGGCATTTTTATTACTTCAAGCATCGTTTATCATGGATAATTTGTATTTGAAATAGACACACCATTTTTATTTATTAAACAGTGCGTATTATGTCTATTGGTCTACACATTCGAGAAATCCGAGTAAAGAAATGATGTTTTCCAGCAGGGATTAAATCTGGCCTACTTTACTGCTTGGTTGATGTATTAAAAATGAATCCATTAATTCTTTAGTAATTGCTTTGTTTACATTTTATATACAAAACTGAGCCGACATAGGTTCCTGAAAAAAATTATCTGAGTGAAGAGTATGTGCTTTTCCTAAAAAGAGAAAATAGAGCCTTGCATATTATGACATACTTTGTGGTTGAGCAATAAAACATGCCAGATCAAATAGCAGTTTCTCCTAAAAAGGAGGATGGAGGATCAACACATGCCAGAGAAAAAATTTTCTTTACTAGAATTTCTCAAATGTGCAGGCTGATAGACATAATACACACTGTTTAATAAATAAAAATTGAGTGTCTATTTAACATATGAAGTGCCCACTTTTATATATATATATATATTAACCTTTTATGTATTATATATATATATATATTAACCTTTTATGTATATATATACATATATATTAACCTTTTATATATATATATATATATACATATATATATTAACCTTTTATATTATATATACATATATATATTAACCTTATATATATATATATATATATATATTAACCTTTTATGTATTATATATATATATATATATTAACCTTTTTATTATATATATATATATATATATATATTAACCTTTTATGTACCTTTATATATATATATATATATTAACCTTTTTATATATAACCTTTATATATATATATATATATATATATATATATATATATATATATATTATGTATTATATATATATATATATATATATATATATATTAACCTTTTATGTATATATATATATATATATTAACCTTTTATGTATTATATTATATATATATACCTTTTATATATATATATATATATATATATATATATATATATATATATATATATATATTAACCTTTTATGTATTATATATTAACCTTTTATGTATTATATATTAACCTTTTATGTATTATATAATACATAAAAGGTTAATGTTTAGAGTTGAATCAGACGAGGAAACAGTTGTATTAAAAAGTGCTCAACACATATGTGAAAAAATAAAATAAAAGCAAAAATAACATGTAGTACTTTTAACTTTAAAAATCAGGAGGACATTTGAATCCGCTACTTTGGTTTCAACCTTACGGTATCCTCAGCTGATTTTTATCAATTGACCTCTTAACACTTTATTCTTTTAAAGAAACTAATGAACGACAAATTGTTATTTTCATAGAATGTACAGAAGGTACTTTCAAACATAGATGGTACAATCATAGGTCGTGATTTAAGCTAGCAAATCTTAGGTACTCTACTAAACTAGCTAACCATGTGTGGAATTTAAAAGAAAAAAGCAACAGGGATCCGATTGTAAGGTGGAAAATTTAAAAAAAGCAAAGTCTTACAACAATCACAACAATACACTATTTATATTATTCGGACTATTATCCTCATCTATGTTGCCATATTTATCACAACGTTTCGGCCATTGTACACCCCGGCCTTCTTCAGGTGGTTGGAATGTCGAACTGAACCCTTTATTTCGGTCACTGAGCAACAAAGATGAGGACAATAGTCTGAATAATGTAAATAGTGTACATAATACCTCATCTCAGAAATATAGACAGATACTGAATCACAACAATATTTGCAACCTCTGCCAACAGGAAAAAATTAGCAATTATGACATTTCCAGATACAAAGAACATTTTAAACTTGGAATTTGAAGTCTTAAGTCCTTGCTTACATATTAGAAAGTTCATCTTAGGCTGAATAAAAAAAAAAAAAAGCATGGTACATTTCAATTAACACCCTTCACCAATACATTTACAATACCCTTGCTTTTCTTCTCTCCCACTTCTTCTTTCTTCACATCCACCTCCCCACTTTCTATTACACCCAGTGTTGTGTGTTTGTTTATTTATTTTGGAAAATAACAATATAGTGTTCATTAGTTATTTAAAAATATAAAGTGCTAAGAGGTAATTTGATAAATATATATATATATATATATATATAAAAAATGGACAAAAAAAAAAAATGAATACATTGACAAAGAGGAAGAAGTCCTAAATTGTAAAGTCTAGAGACAAGATAACTGTTGTAAGAAAAGACAAAGAAGTTATCTGCCAAATGCGTTAAATACAACAATGCTGAAGATAACAGTTTGAATAGTAAATAGACTTCATCAAAGGACCTCAGACAATGTGAGGAAGGCTGAAGAAAGTACGGATCAAAAAATATTAAGGAAAAAAGAAAAAAAGAAAAAAAGAGATGTGTTAAAAATCAATTTATATGAAAATGCAATATGTATACATCTGTGCGTGTCGGTAGAAAGAGAAATTTATTCGTTCTCTTTCTTTACTGCAAGGCTTGTGAGATTAAATTTTCCTTTTTATACTCACTGGAATGATTTATTTTGGTTTTTGTTGTTTTTCAACCCTTTTTTTATTTTATTCTTTCTCCTTTTTTAATATTAAATTCTATTTTAATTGTATTTTCTCATTTCCTCCTAATTTATTACTCTACAATTCTTGTTAACATTATACTAGTCGCCAACGATTCTTCTGATGAGGTGTTGGCCAAAAAAAGGTTGCCTTCATAAGGGAAAAAAAAATGTGATTTTGTCTGTTTAAAACTATCTACAAGTTCTGTGGTATCACACACACATATATATATATGTGTATGCATGTAATATTGGAAGAATTGATAGTTTTCTCACACAGTCTCAGTTACGATGGAATGGTCATGTCTTGAGAATGTCTGATGACAGGATACCCAAGATCCTAATGTACAGCCAGTTAGATCAGGGCTACAGGAATGTAGGATGCCCATGGCTAAGATACAAAGACAAGCTGAAGAGCAACTTGACAACTGTCAATACACCACATAACACCCTTGAGCACTTAGCCTTGGAGTGGGTAGAATGGAGATCAACATGTTTTAGTGGATGCAGCAGATTTTAAACTGCTTGTCTGAATCATCCTCAAGAAAGGAGAGCAAGATCTAAAAGGTCAGTCAATCTAACAGTGATCTCATCCCACAATCCTCACTCTTGCTCGATATGTGGCTTCCTTTGTAAATCACTAGAGAGTCTTAGGTGCCACTTAAGATTATCACACAAAATTTCATAACTGAAACAATTAAGCTGTCAGATCCTCATACATCGAAACCAATGGGAGAGTCCATTATATATATATATATATATATATATATATATATATATAAAAGGTGTGATGGATAAATTGTCATCTAAATGACATAAAAATGAAAATAACACTGCTATCTCATTTTAAGAGATACATTTACCAAAATTACACAAAAATATCTTGAAATATTAAAGAGTAAATTTATTCAATAAAATTGTTATTGGCTTCAACGATGGCCTCCAGATGACTTCGGAATCTCCAGTAAATGTTCTGAACAGTCACCTTGTTTTTGGTGAATGCTGCCATAATCCTTGCCTTCAGTTCATCTTTGGTGTTACAAGGAGTTTTGTTGATTTCTCACTCAATTGTGCCCTACACATAATAATCAAGGGGGTTTCAGTCTGAGGACTTAGGTGGCCAGATGCAAGAGGTTGCAGGAATTGTCTGACAGCCAAAAATGGGTTCACCTGCTTGTGTGGCATGGTACAGAGTTCAGTTGACAGACATAGGGTCTTCTAGCAGCCACCCCCTTAACCCATGGCAGCACTAACACCTCATGGCACTTGATGTAGGCCTTCATGTTGAGTCTGAGGCCCTCACTAACAAATTCTGGATTTTTTTTTCTTATCAGAACAATTAGTATGAGTATTCCAAGTTGCTGTAGATTTGTAATAGCCATTAAACTCATCCAACTCTTTCTGAATCCCCTGCACTGTCTTCAGATTGACATCCAAACATTCTGAAATGTTTGTATTGGAGCTTTCAGCATGAATGCCAAGCAGTACAGCATGCCATTTCCAAATTTCTGGTAGAGTGAATTGTATCATGGTGCTCTTTCTCCCAGATGGTGCCCAACTGACCCTACTGTACTGGGTGATCAACAAAATCAAAAACAAAAAATGTGCATGTGCAAAATTAAAAACATAAAATGGCAACAATTTACCCATCGCTCTGCATGAATATATATATATATATATACACACACACACACATCAATATTAATGGATAATTAAAATAGTCATAGCAACTCGCTATCATTCAGAGGTCTTTACAAAAAATAACAGTACTCATGCAAGACAGATACCATAAGAGCCAATAGATACTATAATAGCAAAAAATCTAAGTGTAACAGTTTCACTCAGGCAATGTTTAGTAGTGCATACATTTCTTCTAAATTCATTTTTACTTCATATATATATATATATATATATATATTAAAAAATATAGTTTAAGGTATGCTATATTTATAAATACCTGAGAGGGGTGTGTGTGTATATATATATATATATATATAGTATTTTATATATATAGTATGTTATTTTTTTTATTACTAACTGGTTTTCTTGGTTAATTACAAAATGATATCCTCGCATGCATTCATCATTGACTTGATGGGTACATATGTTATGATAGCTTGAAAGATATATGTCCATAGTTCAAGCTTTTTACGGCATTTATCTAGTTCACCATCCCCTTATGAATACGAGAATCTGGCCTGTAAAAGTAAAACAGCTGCTGTCGTATATTAGAGGAAAGCAGAGTGAAGAAAAACAAATTTTGGTAAGAGAGGAGACTCACCTTTTTAGATAGTGTCACTACAATGTAAATATATGTGACAAACAGAAGTGCAATTATACCAAACAATGGTCCGTACCAGCTGAAAAGAAAGAACAGAAATAAAACTCATTTGCAAAAGCCAGATGAAATTTACTGTCCAATAAAACCACAGGGAATATATCAATAGCATTTAATATTTGGTAAAAAAATATTTTCAAAAGATAATTTGAGTTCTTACAGGCAGACATTGGGCAAAGAAAGCGTACTAGAATTTGTTTAAACTTGGAATTCATTTATGGAAATTTCTGTTCACAAGACAAAAAAAAAAATGGACAAAAATTGCATGGCTTGTTTAAGCAATGAAGATAAAAAGAAAATGAGCAAAAAATAAGGAATGTTATTTATAAGCCTGGAGAAGTGAATGTCTGTCTTTAAATAGTCAGAGATAATAGAATGTCCTTATAAGCCAAGTGATCTCAGTTTGGTATCATGTGTTCATTGTCTTCACTTTTCCAGTGAGTTCACAGGAAAGTAGAGGGAAAAAAATGATTCATTTCTTATTCAATTGCAAAATGGCTGTGTGTAATGATTGAGAAAAGATAGTTTCTAGAGTCAATACATTTGACCTTTCCTTGCTATTATTTGACCTCTTAGATACAATAAAGCAATGCCTCTATTAACAGATTGAACTGATAGAAAATGTTTAGTTAATTCATTACAATGACTAGCAGCTAATTAAAATTAATACAATTTTGTTCCAAATTACTGGATAAGTGAAGAGGTTTAAATGAAGTAAGTAGCTTTAAGGTTCTTATTTTTAGCCATCTTGCCAATGCTTCACAAAGTCTTTAAGGACCCAATTTTTCTGTCTGGCAAATATCACACAAAGCCCAATAAATTAATACACAAAGATTAGAGTCACTAGCAAATACAGTCCATCATTAGAAGAGGAAGACAAAAAAAAAGAACTCATTTCCCTGAGCATCAAGTGAAATAATGCCAAAAAGATGAGGAGTCAAGGAAACTGCGATTTCATGTGAAGTTCAAAATAAACATGATCTGTACTTTTTATTTTTTTGACATTAAAACTCCTAGGAATGAAGCCAAAGAAGGTAAGATTAGTTCATTATAGTTGCAAAGTGGCCAATAAAATCCAACCTTGAAGACTTTTATTGAATCAATATACAAGAAAACCATTATTTTTACCAGGCTGTTGAAATGCCAAATCTTAAATATTTTCAACTGAAACAAAAAAATGTTGGAGATTCTTTAATATTTCTTCTTGTAAGTAATTTGGAGATTTAAGTATGGCCAGCTGTAATACCAACCACAATTGCCCAATCAACATGTGTGCCTGCATCCACACATATGCAAATGTATCTATTAGGCAGATATACTCACATATAGTCTCCATAATATTGGTGAGTCTTTTGGAATTATTTTTTTGAAATGCTATATTCAAGCTGATATAAGTGAGAAAGAATTCCAAATAATATTTTACATCTTGTTGTATGTAGAAAACACCGTCTACTTTATCTTTTCATCTGTTCAATTAGAACACAAGAGTCAAGGAGAATGAAGACCTTAACACTCAGTCATGTGATTTAATTCAATTGTGATGTTAAAATTGTTGAATTTAAAGGAAGTCACTAAAGACCACTAGATGCAATGTACCGAAAGGAGGTCAGAGACTTTATCAGCAAAAACCTTGCATTTAAATCAAGACTAAAGACAACAATTTGAAAAATATACAAAATACTGAAAATATTTAATCACAGAAGTTGAGAAATAATTGTGGATACTAGACTGTGTTTAATCAGGGCACACAGTGAGGATTGAAGTCTTTACAATAACAAATGGTCAGTGAAATTAACTTTCTAAACAATCTGGCTGATATAAAGGATATGAGATCTGATCAGAAAATATCGGTACTGGTGCTAAAAAAAAAAAACAAAAACAAAACTATAATAGATATCAATTCAGCATTTAATCTCCTTTGAAGTAATTTGAATCCACACACATTATCCAGCATCATTTTAATTGATTGATACATTTCCAGAATTCCTTTTTTATGGAAGCAAGCAGTTGCCTTGTTGCATTCTCTTGGATTGCCTGAACATCTCAAAATCTTATTCCTTTTAAGTGGGATTTGATTGAAGAGGAAAAAGTAGCAAGGGGGGAAATCAGGTTTTTAGACCTGGAGAATGTTATCCATGACCCAAAGCTGCTGTACAAGCCATGGTCACTGATGGAACCTCTATGATGTGGTGAGATGACCACATTCTACACACTTTCCTTCTAGGCACTGCTATAATTAAAGGAAGTGAGCAAGAACATTATAACTTAATATATATGTAAGAGTTCAAGGTTAATCTGTGTCAAGTGACTTCACTCTGCCTACTTTAGCTCCATTACCATAGCAACAGTTCTGATACATTTTGATCAAACTTTGTATTTAATAAGATTTGCTTAGCTAAGCTCAAGGCCATAATATTGGGAGTGTCTTAGTGAGGAGCAATGCCATTAGCAATGACTTACACATGTATCTTCCTTACTGATGCTCTATGATAGGCATCCATAAAACATTGACTATATTCTCTAAGTCCAAATAAAACAAACCACCCTATTGTCTGTGTTAAAAGAAATACTAGAGGCCATTGTATATTAGGGTTTAAGTAATAAATTTATTCTCCCAATCAGAGAACATCAATAATATTCTTGCTAAGCAAATTATAAAGATGCTGGCAAATTCTTTCTTTCCATAGTCACACAATTTACACAATTTCTTTCCATATTTACACAATTTCTAACACATTTTTTTCTTCCAAGCCTGAAGGTAGACATGAATCTATGCAGAGAAGAAAGGCTTAGCCCTGAAGTTCAGTTATCCCATTGCATTTTGGGTAAAATTTACTTTTCACTGATGTGTTTATTGAAACACAATAATCAGATATTGAAAAAAGTTACAGGCAAATAAGCAGCACAGAATAAAATATCATAGCCAAAAATACTGAATGTATTTACAAATGCATTATTATATACACAATAAAATATTGATAGTATCCAATAAAATATTGATAGTATCCAATAAAATATTGATAGTATCCAATAAAATATTGATAGTATCCAATATGTAAATGCAATTGATACATAAAACTAGCAGAGAGAGAAGCAGTTGGGCAGCAGCTGCTGAATGGAAATTATTGGAAGGAATAAATACATATTCAAGAAAGTGAATACTTATTTATGTAATTCTAAGCAACATGACTGAAGCAGGTGTTTGTTAAAAGGATAATATGGAATTGGATTTGGAAACTTTAAAATCTTAGCAGCTTTAAGAGAAAAAAAAAGAAATTAAACCTTTCTGAGATTTATATAAGATGTGCATCGTAGAATGGCACATTCCTTTCTTTCAAGATGGGCACTTATATAATCCATTTTAGGACCTTTTTTCTTTCAAGTACTTTTACAGAAAATAGCTGTTATTTCTCCCAGAATGAAACAAGAGAAAATATATTCTTTAAATTTCACAAGGATATTCTATTCCATTTTGGATGGAGCAAATACCCGGGAGACAAATTTTGAAATGTCTTCAGTAAAAACATTAATTCTCTTACAAGAAGTGTTGTAACCTAGAAATGGTTACTGAATGAGGAATAACCAAAACAGAGGACAGAGGTTGGAAATGAAATGGTAATCTTTATAACATCAACAAAATACAATACTTGCCGCTAGTGGTGGACTACTTAGATAGCATATTACCCCACTTACAATGTATTTATGAGGACTGGGCATACCCATTAGTGCTCATAGGTACAGTATATAATACACACACACACACATATATATATATATATATATATATATATATATATATATATATATATATGCACATTTCATTGAATATGACAGACAAGGTGCTTTGATTTAGTTTTTTTATACAATTGCTTATGTGATCTAATAATTTTTTTTCTTTTCAGACGATAAATTATATAAAAACTGTCTGAATGTTCTTTTAATCCGAGCGCTTTCAGCTATACATTTAGTCATTTTCAAGGATAAAATATTTTAAATGTTAAATAAAAAATAGTTTGTTGCATGTATGTATTTATATAAGGTTTTCAAAACACGGTCAAGATACTGTGTCCATGTTCATAGTAGATATTATTAAGTGTTGGTTTTTTGCTTTTATTAAATAGTTTGTTGCATGTATGTATTTATATAAGGTTTTCAAAACACGGTTAAGATATTGTGTCCATGTTCATAGTAGATATTATTAAGTGTTGTTTTTTTGCTTTTATTAATAAGGCTTCCATTATTTTTTAGCCTTTTTTTGCATGTAGATGATGCTATTATATTTATGTTGTCAACAAGTATGTTATGAATAGTGTCTGGTAGGTCTCCATGAATATTTGAATGAGATCTAATTGAGCTATGATTGATCAGGAATACAATTCCTTAATGAGCATTTAAATTTGTAAATAATATCTGCCCCATTTAAGTTTGTTCTAAGAGGTGAATTATTATTTTCAACTATAAGTTTAGAGGTTTTAAATTTTTTATAATAAATAATCTAATTTTTCTACTATTGTCAACTGGTGTTATGCATTTTTTTATAATGTTCTTAATTCTACTTTCATCTTGTTTATAATTTTCGTTCATTTGATTTTTATAAAAAATATTAATGTTATTATTTATGTTTCTATTCTCGTCATTAGCTACTTTAGACAGAAAATGCCTAATGTGGAAATCCAACAATTGATTAGGAAATCCGTTATCAATAAGCGTGTTTTACATTATTTAATTCGTTAAAGCATGCGAGAGGATGAATACTCATGCACTCTCATGAGGAAATTTTTAATAACACCTATTTTATATCTAAGATGGCATTCATTAGAGAAATTAAGATGGCAATTAAGAGTCTTTACTAGTTGGTTTTTTATAAACAGAAGTTTTAAAAGTATTATTACTAAAATCGATGAGAACATCTAAGAAAGGAAGTTTATTTTTTTCACTAAGTTCATAAGTAAAATTTAGGATGGAATTTTGTGGAAATGTAACTTTCAGATAAAAGAAATATATTGTCTACATAACGAACAT